TTGTTTGACATCCATTTGTGGCATGTTTTAAATGGGACCAAAATGTAACAAACCCTATAAAATGACCAAGAACAAAGCTAATTGATTCTTAAATATTAATTATATACCCAGGTCTCAGTTTTGGATGGACTTGTTTGGAGACCTAAGAGACTCTGGAAACTTAAATGGAAGCCACGAACACCAATGCTTGCTGAGATTCTGCTTCAGAGGGGTTCTACAGAAAGACCTGGATGAATGCAAAGACCTCTGGAACAAACACAGGATCCGGCCAAGCAGACTTGCATTGTGTCCAGGGGGATTCCAAACGAACTCTATCTCTTGCCTCACAGGTATTTGAGTTCTTAACAAAAATGAATTAACCTTTTGCATCAAACTAAATGCATGGTATTGCTTAAGTTTGTTAATATATATTCATAATTTTACACATAAGTATGATAGAGCAGTTTATAACATGTCACTGCATGCGTTGATTTATATAGTTCCATATTGTCAGCAAAAAATCCTTCACTGTTCTATTTTCATTTTGCAGATATGGTTCAAGAGACTGTGGATTTGCTGTTGAGGAGAGGGAACTGGATGTGTTTCCCGAGGAGGGGCTACCGGTTGGATTGTGTGGTGATCCAACATTGAGGAATATTTACAACAGGCTGTACAACAAACACACTGCAGCAGCCACAAGACTGGGAATCGGCCACAGAACTGTATTTGGCCCTGAAGGACATAGCTGGGTTTTAGATACCAACTGAACTTCAGTTTGTAATGACATTTGTCAGAGTTACTCTGACGAAGACACACACGGTGTCGAAACGTTAGTTTCTTTCCTTTTTTTGCACCTAATAAAACCTTTGGACTTACATGAGTGCTCCAGCCCTTCTGTTTTTCCTTCATTTTTTAATGTTAGTAGTGTTTCCTTTCCCTCTTGCTAAATTGAATATAATATTGTTCATAATATACAGCAACTGGCATGGATTTAAATATTAACATTTAACCACAAGGAAACATTTACAATTTTCTTTAATAAAACCATTTACAAATAGTGTCCAGCATTTCTGTCACTTTTCCAACATACACAATATTAAGAAAAAACAACTAAAACAACTAAATGTTTAACAATATGGAAGTTGCTTGTCACATGAATGTGTTAAGTGTCACAGGCTGGGTCTCTGACCCAGCGCTCTGAGTTTATGTTTGTATTTGTCTCATTTTGTTATGTGATTAGTTTTGTGTCATTTCCTATCTGTCTTTAGTTTGGGCAGTTATTGTTTATTGTTCCTCTGGTTTTCTATGTTTTGGGTTCTTGTATTATTCATCACGCATTAGGTTTGTTAAGTTTGTATTGTCATGTCTAGTTTTAGTGTTTCCTGTTTTATTCTGACAGTGTCATGTGTTCTTTGTTCATTGTATTTAGCTTTCCTCTCCTGGTCCTGTCATTAGGTTTATGTCAGTCAGCTGTTCCCCCATGTGTCTCCACTTCCCCTGATCACCTCATGTATGTATTTAAGCCCTTTGTTTTCTGCATGCCATTGTCGGGTCGTCTGTTTATCTCACCAGAGTCACAGTCATAGCATAGCCTGTTATTTTCCACCACAGTTATAGTTTTTGGTCTTAGTACCTCTTAGTGTTTTGTTTCTTAGTGTTTTGACAGTTTGCTTTGGTTTCCTGGTTTTCCCTTGCTGTTATCATTAAAGGATCACTTTTCTGTTCAAACTTACAACTCCTCGTCCTCATTCTGCTTTTGGGTCCTGTTTCATCACACATCGGCGCACCCCGCCGTGACATTAAGTAGTGTGCCAACGGCAGCTGAACCTAACAGGGTAACTCAGTAACTGTAACTTGATGACCTTGCTGATTTAAGAACATCCAAATCCTGGAGCATTTTGAATTCCAAAGTCCATGCTGGCCTTAAAGATGCTGTATGAGTCACAGATAGGTAGCTTCAGAGTATTTGCACAGGTGTTTGCAACTGGAAAAGGCGAATCACTTAAAAACTGGATCCATGGTGGTGGTGTCATTCCTGCCGGTGGAACTGCCGTCAGCCCTGTGGCAAATATCATCAAATCTTCCAGACATACTGCTGTTGCCTTCTCTGAAAGAAGAAAGTAAACACTGTAGTACATTACAGAAAATTAATTTCCTTACCTCTCCTTTCATAAAACTATAAACAAATAAAAATGGCCATTCAAACCTTCACAATCAAGGAGATAATCTGCCCAAAAGCCAAGTGTTAGGACCTCCTTATGCTGCTTGTTGCTTCCTGTTGGGCTGAGATCTGGTCTGAACATGCTCTCCAGTTCTTAAGCAGTCAGGGCCTTGGCAGAGAAGCATAGGAGTGGGGCCAGCACACTGGAATGTTGTTGCAGTGCACTTAAAAAATTCAGACTTTCCAGTCCATCTTTAAATCTGCAAAGGATAGACAAATAACTAATAATTGGTTTATAGCTATAACTATTGCAGTCTTCTAAATTGTGTTTAAATGTCTTTACCTACTAGATCTTTCATTATAAATTTGGACAGATTTCAAATGCATACACAAAAACAATTCATAGTGCTCAGAAATTAACTGTGACAGCAAAAAAAGAAGAGCTCATTGGGATTTCAGCATTTAAAAAAAATAGTGCTTTCACACTGGAATAAACAAGTGTGTCAAACAAGGGATCACCTCTTTTTATAAATAACTGAAAAATAAATCATGTTGCATGACTATGATTATTATGGGTCATTGTAAACAATAAATGTATACTAAATTAGAGTTCTAGTGTCAAAAGGTTAATAGCGTGCAACAGTGGCTCAGGAATTAACTTGTTGTTCATCAGATCACACGGATGCTACCGAATCAGTTTTTTCATATACATCTGAAGGTCTGAAAATGTCAGTGGCTGCTGTGATGAGCAACTGGCCATCCTGAATTTAAAAGGAGTAATGAGTTTATCGTTGAATGACACTTTGGTTTCTTTCAAGGATGTACCATCTGAGGTACTCCTCCACAAATGCTTGTTTCTCACAAGGCTTGACGTTTCTGAGGCATCCAGCAGTTTGGAAGATTGTGCTGTTTTGCAAATAAGATTATGCAAAGACTCCTCTGATTCAGCTTTCAGGACCTATAAAAAAAAAGGTTTACTGTAAGAAAAACAAAAATAATTTTCACTACTTTTACGATTCATTCAAACATTGGATTAAAAAAATAATCAATTTGTTGTTTCACTTGTGTTGTTGGGAGGTGGAAATCTGTCCTTTCAGATTACAGAATCTACCTTGAACCTACTTTCAAGATATGATCCAACCCGGATAACTTTTATCCTGATTAAATCTTTTAAACTGGCCCCAAGTGTCTTCTAAGTAAACCCATTCCCTGAGCCTAGGTAATTTTCTACCTGATGTAGAACTTTTGTGATCTCCTCATCTTGCACATCTTCTACAGTGGTGCTGAAACTCTGATTCCCTGTGATGTGGTTGACCAGGTTCTTGGAGAGGAAATGTAGTGCTGGTCCCCCATGCACAATGGATACAGCGATCATCTTTCCTGCTAAAAAGTACTCATCTTGCCTGGCAGCTGTTATACAGGGCACATAATTATCATGGTTAATTGCTATTAAATATGCTAATGAAAAAAATAAGCCAATTTTTATTAAATTTCCATTGTAATAATTACGGAGAAAACATCCACCTCTTGAATTATATACAAGATAACGGCTCTCTGGAGGTCCATCAAAGATGGATTTTTTAAAGGTGTATATACTTCTCTCATGATTGCATGATGTCTTGTACAGAACAAGATGGTGGTTAATTGGATTCAAATGTTTAAATTACTAACACAGGTTCTTCTGGGGGCTCAGCTTTGGCTTCGTTAGAAGTAGGATCTTCATCATCAATCACAATTGGTTCAAACAGCTGTGTGTAGTTTCTGCAGAGTGAAAACATGTACACAAAGTGTAGATGCAAAAAGACAAATGCATAAACATGCAGTTCCAGTTTTATAGAACGATTCCACTATTTTTTTTTTCTGAAGAATCTAATGTAAAAGAGTCAAACTACATACATTTATAATAATTGTGTGTATATATTTTGTGCAACCCTCTGGAATAATTACTCAAGATACAATGCACCTGTAACAGGAGCTCTCGACAGTGAGGCATTCAGTAGTGCCTGTATCGTTTTCTTCTTCCAAATCTATGACCTGGAAATACAGAAATGAGGATGAATGAAAATTCATATTTGACCAATTGATAATTATTTTAATATAGGGAGCCTAAGTCTCCTCCCCTTCTGCTCTGCTCGTGGGTCCCTGAACAAAAGAAAAATGAATGGAAGTGAATGGAGCTATAAAAGTTATTTTCTGGTCTGCTTTGCCTTACTCTCTGAATCACACATATGTTGTACTTCAATTTAAATAATAAATAATTGTGTTTCGACTATGTCTGTAATGTAATTTGAGATTTGTTAGCTTGTAAAAATTCGTCATTATGACTATAAGTCAGATGTCGCAAATATGACGTCGCCTCAGAAGCTTTTCTCCCCCAGCGTAGCTGCTAATTATCACATGGCCAGATTTATAGTGGTTTTCTCCACATCATCCTGGAAGAAGGATTCGAAGCTCGCTAAACAAAACTAAGCTTTTCCTCTTCTCTGTGTCTGGTTCGATGATGTCAATTTTGTGAGACGAACATTTACATTTTGCCACGTCTTTTCAAACAAAACCTAAAATAACCTTTGCCACCTGTCGCTTAAGCACTTTTTGGCATCAAAATGTGTTTATATACTTCACGGGCATCATATTTTAACTCCCCCTGGCTTCTGCTCCGCGGCTGCTGAATGAGCCCTCATCTGGGACTCTCCTTAGCTCTTACTGGGACAGTGGCGCAGCTGCCCCTCTGTGGGTCTTCCTTGGTCTCTTGTGTTCTGGGGCCTCTGGATGTCTGGAGTTTTGATCTCCTCCATACCTGCTTGATACCATAAAGGACAGGGCTGTGGCTCCCCACACTCCCTAGCAGATCTTTACATGGAGAAACCTCTGGAATGCAAGCATGCTGATCCACACAGGTATGCACACAGGTGTACACATGGGTATTCACAGACGCGGACTACAGCTTTCTTGGCTGCTGCCTCAAAGCACACTGTGCGCTGTCTATCTTGAGTGTTGCACAATATCCTTTATTATTTAGTAACTATTGATATCCTTCACAGACATATTGATATCTATGGCTAGCTAGTTTATTGTGATGTAGGGTTTTTTTTTTTATTATTATTATGTTGCTCTTTGTTGTTTGCTGTCTCCTCTGGGTTTTTTTTCTCCATACAGGTGACCCAGGAGTTTTTTTGTTTGTTTTTTTTTGTTTTGTTTTGTTTTTTTTTTGGGTTTTTTTTCTCTCTTCCCCCCTTCTCACCGTCTCTTCTCCCCTTTGGTTTTCTTTCTTTCTCTCCCCCTCTTTCTTTCATTCTTTCCCCCTGTCCTATCCCACAGTTATGTCTGTCCCGTTTGCAACTGAAAATAAAATAAATTCATAATTATAATAAAGGTCAATCAAATGGACCAATATGGCAAGGCCATGATGATCCACTTGGTAAAATAAATCCGCTTGGCATCTTTCTTGGCCTCAAGACAACAATTCTGATGGCTATAGATCCAAACGGGACACAAAAAAAAAAAAAGAAAGAAAAAAAAAAAAAAGCACTTTTTCAAAATGTGTTTATATACTTCACGGGCATCATATTTTAAATCCATGGCACACATCAAACGGGATCAGAAAATAATTTTTATTGGCTCATAGACTCCTATTTTTTTAGCAGTAGGGGACCCATGGTCCGGAAGTAGATGGATGTACCTTAGGTTCCCTATCCCAATAGATTATCTAAAGGTACTATAAGTAAGAATGAAATAAGAAGAACATCCTGTGGTCAAATTTGTGTACTGCAGTCTATCTTTATAAACAAACGAGTGACTCTCCCTCCCGTTCCGTGAGTTTCATGGCTACGGATCAGCGCCAGAAGATTCTAGATGACAAAGACGAGTCATACACAGTTAGTTTCAATGTAACCTTCCTTCCAACATGATTGAGACATTAGACTGCTTTGTGATTATTTCATGTACCGGTATGACTTATTGTACCTTTAAGGGGTGGATGTTATAATCTATTGATAGTATGAAAATTGAGGATGTGAAATGCATTGTATAATAACAATGAATGTAATAAGCAAACAGTGAATCGTTATCTAATTGCAAAGTAAAGGCAGTGGAGATTGTCTGCTGCACTGTTTTACTAATAAAATAGTTTTTTACCTGTTGTACTTCATTAGCAAGCACAAGATCCCCAGCACCCTTCCTTAGAGAACAAAGAAAAGCATTATTGTTGTGTACTGTGAAAATATTAATTGACACTTTGAAAATATTTAAGCATCTTGATTAACAAACAAGCAATACAAGTATTATGTAGTCCATGTTCCAAAAACCATATACAGAATGAATGACAAAAGTGTATATCTCATTACTACAAAGTGTAGGCAAAAAACAGTAAAAGATTACATGTTCTTAAAATATCACTTACTCATATTCTGCCGCTTTCTGTAAAGGACTGCTTTCATGTTGAAGTTCCCATGGCTGAAACAAACAAACAAACAAACACACGCACGCGATCACGCACACACACACACACACACACACACACACACACACACACAAAATGTATTTCACAACTGAGGCAAATGGTGGTGGCTAAACAACAAGAAAACTCTATAAAAAAATTTAAATTGTACTTACCAGTGTATCAGCAAGATCAAACTCAGAGGGCCTTTTAATAACAATCTCTGGGTCAGAGTCAGACAAGTCTGAGTTTTCTCCAACTACAAAACATGAAAACAAATCAAGCTAAGCTAACTAAATTCATACTAATGTATGAAACTTTATTTGATCATCAATAATAGATTAATACGAAAGGCATAAAGTTAGCATTGAAAACTCATGACTCAGTAGATCCAAAAATGGCTGAATTTCATGTTTCCAGGAAGAAACATAACATATACAAGCTAATTTAGGGAGCAATGGTGGCAGAGGAGTTAAAAGCCCGCCCTGTAATCAAAAGGTTTGAGGGTTTGAAGGTTTGAGCGCTGCTCAGTCTGTCGCAGTCGTTGTGTCCTTGGGCAAGACACTTCACCCTCCATGCCAGGTGGTGGTAGTGGGAGGGATAGGTGGCATCTGTGTACAGCAGCCTTGCTTCAGTCAGTGAGTCCCAGGACAGTTGTGTCCACATTGTAGCTAATCACCAGCAGTGTGTGAATGTGTGCGGGTGAATGACTGGTTTTGTTGTGAAGTGTCTTGGGGGGTTGTAGAACCCTAGAAGGTGCTATATCAAATACAGGCCATTCACCATTTTAATGTAGGTATGCTATTGACTTGGGTGCTTTATGCGTAATGTTATCATTTCACAATTTCAAAATTAGCAGTTGTTGAAACTAAGGGAATGTGTGTCAAAATCCAAACAAACATTAGCAGCTTACCATATTCAAAGTCACTCTTCAAGCAGATGAAAACAGTGATTCTTTGATAAGGCTTGCCAACTTCAGCCTTATAAGCCTCAAGTGTAAATGGTCTTTGTGTTCCAGGGACAGTAATGACCTCAGTGCCATCCGGATACAGAAGAAGGAAAGGTCCATCTTTTAGATCTTTGTTAAAGTCCTTCATTTTTTTAACAGCTTGATTGAGCAGACTTGTGGCAGTAGCGTCAGGGTCTGTTGTTAGGAAAATAGTTTTTCCACGTTATGGCTTCAAACCACCCTTTTTAATGGTCATCAAGCCGACATTTATCTGTAAGGAAAAAGACATGAACAATGGGCCAAGTAGATACTAATATGACTCTAAGCAGATCTATTCAAACTTGAATATTTATTAACTGCAAAAGCGGGATCTTCCTGACAACCTAAATGTACAATTACTCGTAAACAATTGTTCTTATTCTGGATAGCTTTACTACACTGAACATTTTTTACACAACTCCCCTAAGGAATAACAAAAGAATGTCATTAGAAAATTAACCTCAACTTGTTTTCAGACTGAGCAAGCCAAACTACCTGAACCTTTCTTTTTTCCTTTTTCTTTAAGCCCTTCCTCCCTTCAGAAAACTTTTGCCTCTCTTCATTTTTCTTTTTTCTGTATTCTATGAAGGTGCTGAAGGTTGGAGTCGGGCAGTTTGAGGTAGTCTGTGATGCTAAAGGGAAACAAAGGAAAAATGTACTACAATGTCACACATTAAAGACATTCATTCATGTGACATTCCATTGTCCACACAACACGCAAATAAGGACAACACGGAATAATCTCACTAGAAAATTTCTACCAAGGAATGACAATGCAACTGATACTATTGACCAATACAATTCTACACCAGTAAGTTTTAATGTATAGACACATAATAGTGTTAGTTCCTAAAGTTAACCAAACATAATAAATGAACTAATTTATTATCGTTTCAGTTGTGGAAATGCTCAGAGGACTGTTCCACGAAGCAAGCTTATCCCAAAAGCCAGGCTCACTCTGAAAATCCAGGCTCGATTGCCCCAAATTCGGTTCCAGGAACGAGGCTAACCTGCAGTCTTTCTGCTCATTCTTTATGCAATATGCTTGTGGACAAGTCTGGTCCGTGGCACCCTAGCTGCGAGGTTTGTTAACACTAGAACTGCCCTCAAACCTTCACTACTAGAAAGGTCTTGAGCAGTCATTTTGACAGCTGCGTGCATTTTCAAATAAGCCTCGATTTTCTGAGCTCGCTTAGTGGAACAGCCCTCTGGTCTGCTATGGTCTGGAAACAGCTAACGCTAGGCTAATAAATCAATAAATAACAAACATTTTATTATGCTTATTAACTTACTCAATGGGAGTGAAGTGTCTCCGATGCAAGATGCGTGATAAAGCCTCTCGCCACAGCCGCTGCAAAAGTTCGGCGACTCCTCAACCAGCTTTTTCCCACAGCTAGGACAAAACATTCCGCCGTTCTTCTTCAAACGAAATGCGCTACAGGCAGAGTAACTTCCAGTTCCAAAGATGAACAGATCGGACATCCAATCAGTGATGTCTCCTGTTGCCGACTGGTACCTACCCTTTCCGGTTTTCTTAACGTAATTGTGCTTCTCAATTTGTTTTTGTGATTCTTCTTTTGTTTTTGTGCTTCTCAATTTTGTTTTTGTGCTTCTTAATTTGATTTTGTGCTTCTCAGTTTTGTTTTTGTGATTCTTAATTTGATTTTGTGCTTCTCAATTTTGTTTTTGTGCTTCTCAATTTTGTTTTGTGATTCTCCATTTGTTTTTGTGTTTCTCAATTTTGTTGTTGTGTTTAGCAATTTGTTGGTGTGATTTGAACTTCAGGGCCTCTCAATTTTGTTGTTGTGTTTAGCAATTTGTTGGTGTGATTTGCACTTCAGGGCCACCGTGTATACTTGCACATAAACCACTACATAAGACACTGATGTGCACTCGTTTGTCAATTTCATAAATTAAAACACATGTTGTCCACCTAAGTGGACATGTAAAAAACTCTTTGAAAAGTACATTTTAAAATTTTTTGTCTTTTTTTCATGCCTAAAGATGAATAAAAATACTTAAGAAAAAAATCTTGATTGAGGTTGTCATAATTCATGCATGACAGGTTTAAATATAACAAAAATTCAAAAAAAATTTCTGACACTAAAAATATCAAAATATATTTGAGTTTTTTCAAATATAAAAATATCAGAAAGAAGTAAAGGTCGAAGTCAGGAACCATTCTGCAAACAATCCGCTTTTGGATTCTGCTTTTGAACAGGATCAAAGAGTGTAGGGCAATCACTCTGCACTGCAACGTGAAGACCAGTTAACTTTCAAATCCGCAAAGATGCAGGGGGGAAATGCTCTTTACATGGAGAGGTCATTCTGGATTCTGGAACACTCACAGAGGCACAGTGTGGAACATTTCAACTTATTCAACATTTTTATCTTTTTTCAAATAACAAACAACCATGGAAAAATTCAGGGAAGCTAAGTATTCACAATTTGAATCAGGTGAAGGAACAAAAATGAACCCTACAAGATCAATCAGCTAAGCACTGTGGATGAGGCAGCATTCTGAAATTGTTGTTGTGAAACCAACTATAACTCATTTCAAAGGAGGACTAAAGTTCCATCATGAATCTGTAAGAAAAGTAAACCAGACTGTACCATTAGGCTGCTTACTTGTGACATTTTCAGCTAAAAGCCCACCTTGATTCTCAGGTGGGGATTAAGTCCAAGTCTTTGACTTGAATGTGACATCAGCATCAGCATAGCCATTATCTACATCAGTGGATTCGCCCTAATTAGTCATTTCTTGGTCTGGATTATATTCAACTTCTGACACTTCCCCCTCTAATCCATCTTCAGTGTCAGTTTCCTGGCTTCTCTTTCCATCTTCAGTGTCAGTTTCCTGGCTTCTCTTTCTCCTCACCAGTGTGGTGATCAAATGTGTAATCACGAGCCTCACTCTATATCGACCTGCCACGGTGCTGCCAGACAGTGCTCTGTGAGCAAGGCTTAGAAAACAACGAATCATTTCTATTAATGGGATTACGTTTGACCAGGAACACCAAGAGTGTAAAAATGCTCAATAAAATACACAAAATGTTATGCAAATTAATCAAATTTAGGTTGTGCATTGACATCCTCTTTGTGGAGAAAGTCACAGAATCTTAAGTCTGTGTGATCAAATTAACAACACTTTTCAGACATAAAACTATTAAATTGGTCAAATTTGACCAGAACACAACACAAGGGGGGCTAGTACAGGAGTAACGGCTCCCACCGCTGACACGCTCTTTGCAAATTTCTCGTCACTATTTTGCCAGAAAGTCTTTCCCTGTTAACAGAAATTGTGTGAGCCTCCGATGTGTGATGAAAACAGGATGTCAGAGCAAACCAGCCAGTTCTGGTATTCTATGGGGAATTCCAATGGATACATGGTGCTGGGCAAGTCCCGCTGCATGACTGACAGCGTTTGTTCTGTTCCTCATTGCACAAAGCAGCCATCACTAGTCCTGCTCTCCTTGTTTAACAGCATATCTCCTGGTATCTCTGTCACACTCTTGCACTGTGTCTTGCAGTAACAATGACACTACCAAAAAGCAAAAGTAGAAAAAAATAGGATGGATTTGGAGAGAGCAATGGTGTTTGGGCACCTTTCCTAGAAGATGGGCAACCGTTTCATTCAGGTTCACAGTCACACCTGTACCTGCTGCCAAATGCACCTACAAACATCTTCAGCTGTCTATAGCACCAGGATAACTTTTGATGTTCAGTGTGACTCTAAATTTAGGGTGCTCTCGATTTAACAGCTAGATGTCTTTAACTTTTTCTAAGACTTAATGTTAGAGCTTTTTTGTATAGCTCTGATTACAAATCGTTAGTAGTTTTCTGTTGTGGTTTATTTGTTAACAAAATTAAATGTTGAGACACATGAACTAAGTGTGTGATAACTGTGTTGTCATTGTATAACTAAACTTCATCATTATGTAATTTGTCATTCAATCTTATGCAGTCTCATGTGGAGCAATGGCCGTTAGCTCTTTCATAGGCTTTCACTCTAAGCAACCCGAGGAAGTGGTGAAATAAACTGCTTTGCATTGCTGCTCCACTAAGCTCTGTATGTCAGGACTGTTGAATTGGTACATGTTCTTGTAAACTGTCACTAAAAGAAGAAGCTGGATTTTATTGCTCTCCAATTTTTCCCCATAGATTTCGTAAGCAGAAGCTTAGCTTCTTCTGCTTTTGTGCTTGTATAAATATTCCTTGGTCTTCTTATTCTTCATGGCTCAGCTCTGAAGATGTTCCTGTGCTGTTGGCTGGTTCTGGGGGCTCTCTTCCCCGCAACCTTAAGCATCAATCCTGGAGTAAAGGTCAGGTTGACAGAAAAAGGCATTGAATATGGTAAGGTTTGTGTAAAAGCTGTCCTCTTGCTCAAAAAGGACTGATTTCTCCAGTGTTTGCTCAGTAAATTATTTTTCTTTACATTTTGTTAGGCAGGCAACTGGGTATGGCTGACATGCAGCAGAAACTCAATTCTATCCAAGTTCCAGACTTTTCAGGGGAACAGAGGGTGTCTCCGATTGGAAAAGTCCAGTACAATTTGTCAAAGTAAGGCTCCAGTTTGTTCAACATGTCTCTAAATTCTGTTACAAAGTATTTTGTCCTGTTGCCGCTTAAACAAACAAAACACGAATTCTTCCAGTATACATGTATTGAAGGTGGGAATACCAAAGTCTTCAGTGGACCTGGTGCCAGGGACTGGAGTCAGAATGTCTATAGGTGATGCCTTCATCAGTCTGAATGGAAACTGGAGGGTCAAGTACCTGCGAATAATGTGAGTGAGGTAACATCTCTTCTTTAGAGAAGTAATTTATCTGCTTAAAAATATAATGTGCATCAATACCAGATCAGATGACCTGCCTGAAAATAACAAACCAGAAAACATGGGCTTGCCTCCCTGGTCCGTGAAAACAGTTACAGAAAACAAAAGGCAGAACAGTGCTGCTTACGGGTCTAACACAGAGTTTGCCCAGCAATTTAGATCTGAATTAAATTCATATTCATTATCTAATCATCCAAGTATTTGCTGATGACAAAGTTTCAGGTTGGAATAAAGGAAATGTTTTTGTCTACAAGCAGCGGTTTAAAATCAATTCAATTCAGTTTTGTTCATACAGGGCCAAATCACAAATCACAGTCACCTCTAGGCGCTTTATATTGTAAGCTAGAACTTACAGTAGTGCATACAGAGAAAACCCCCAAAATCATGTGACCCCCTGTGAGCAAGTGTTTTGGTGACAGTGGGAAGGAAAAACTCCCTTTTGACAGGAAGAAACCTCCTGCAGAACCAGGCTCAGGGAGGGGAGGCCGTCTGCTATCCAGCTGTAGGTGGTGAACTTTAAGAAAAATGACAACAATTCCTTCAGAATGTGTGTCACAAGCTCTTCATGTGACTGTATTTCCTTCTACGTCTTTACTTCGTGTGTTGCAGTTGTAGGCACTTTAGGAGGAATGCTGTAAACTAATAATCCACCCAACATGCTTTTTCTCCTGTCAGCACAATAATTAGATTCTCTCAGACTTTAGCCCCATGGCCCGCTGCCATTTTTTACCTCTTCATGCTACCTCACATTTCTCACTGTGTAAAAGTTCAGTACTGTTCAGATTGTAAGCGATGTCCACGTTGCTTTGATGCTCAGCAGTAAACACCGAATAGTGTACGAATCATCGTGTCTAATTCTAGCCGCTGGTTTGTGTGGACCAAAACAGGTCTGACTGGATGCCACCTTGCTTTTTTGTACCTCCACCAATCAGCACCAAGCAGAGTGTTTTCTTCCCACTGTAAAGGTTTTACACAATTGTGTCAGTTTTCAGTGAAAGGCTTCCTGTTTTCAGACAATAACCGCAGTTACTGACCAGCTGATGTGTGATGACTTTGTATTTTAAACATAAACAGCAATTCAAAAAGCAGGAAGCAATTTCAGTGGTTTTTAAATCACAAAGAAAATATTGATGCACATCATGACCAAGCAATCTGATATAGTAAACTTGGTTTTGGTTGTGATGTTGTCACACTGGATTTTCACTGAGGAACCATTTCCTGGTCTCTTCTTCTGTTTTTTTTAAGAAAGTCTAAATGTGCATTTACAGTAAAAGTTGTGGAGCAGGGAAATTATTTTACTGCTATTGCTAAATAATTGTCATCATTACCATTGCATTAATAATATAATCTGGAGTTTATATTGCATTCAGGGGTTGAACAGTGTGTGTCTTTCAGAAAGGCTAAAAGTAACAGGACAGGAAACAGGCTTGGAGAGTTTTGCAGAAGTGGAAGTTATTTTGAGCAGCAGGCTAAGACGAGGCTTTAACAATGTAACAGATAGCTTTAAGAAGGCCTTAAGCAGTTATGACTATTTTATACACAATGCATATCTGTGCTTATTTGAGTTGATGTTCAGGTTCTTTAAAGGTCTTAAGCTTCACTGACGTGACTGTTCAGGTGATACATGCTGAGGGAAAACTAGAACATAGAAGGAATTGCAATACATGCTTACAAAACACTTATATCAGGCCATTTTATATTAAGGTTTTAGTAGAGGTTCTTGGTTAAAACATTTATTTAGTAGAAGACATACATATAGTCTCAGTGAGCCTCTGGTCTGGTGAAAGGTCAGAAGTGCAACAGGTGAATTGAGAAAGAGCATGTGAGGTCGTGACACACACACCTGAGTTAAATTTATTTAGAGGAGAGATTAGTCATGTCTGGTTGTAACTGCAAAAGTGTCTCGGTAAAAGAGGAACCGTCCTTGTTGTCTCGGCAAGAAAGAGGAACAATTTACTTTAAGACAAGAACGGAAAGTACCAGCCATGAAAATAGAAGATGATCTTCTGGGTGAAAAGTCATTGTGGTGTTGATCTGATCTATGTATAAAATGTATCTGTGACGCATGAAGGGGCGTCAGTAAATCAAACCCTGATGCTATAAAATATCTGTTTATGCTTTGATTAAGTCGGAGATCACTTGCTGTCGGCGTACAGAGTGTTCTTCCCACACGTGTGTAGTCATTAAAATCATTGTTTGACCAAGAGCTTCTGGACCATGGGTGGTTTGTACTCTCCTTCCTCAATTGTGAACCTTAACATTTGGGGGCTTCGTCCGGTGGTTGAGGAGGGAGAATTGGAGGTGTAGACGGTGATGTATGGTCCGTTGTGGTCAGACAGGCAGGCGTGACCCGGCAACCAAACTGAGGGGACAGGCGCCTTTAAAAAGAGGTAGGCACAGGCCTGTTGATTTTATCAGAAGTGTGCTGAATTGGATGATAAAATTAAATGTTTATTCAGTAAAAGTTGCCGGTAAATGTCTGCTTTGATTTTGATGAGAATCTCATGACAGTACTGAGGATTTAAAAGCAGTTGGACTGCTGGTAATGATTGAATGCGGTTGGACCGCTAAAAGGATTTAATACGGTTGGACCGTGGTAAGCAGTTGGACTGCTCAATGATTTTAGTATGTTAGGGAATTTGGTTATTTTTGGTTATAAGGTTGGACCTGCTTCAGTCTTACACTTTGTTGGGTGTTTTACTGTTGTTCCAAAGTATTATAAATTATCTTAGAACGGAACCGTGGGGTTCTAGGAAGCGCAGTGCTCAGAGGTAACGCTTGCCAATGCCAAGGACGCTTAGGCATTGTCCTCGAAGAGGGATAGTCAGTTGGTCACTGTGGAGCTTGGGGCACTCCAGAATAACTAGGAGATAGAGTCTCCTTACCGTTTGGAAAGGTAGTCTGCGCTTTTTTTGGTCAGAAGAAGTTGGACTTCGGGCGTGTAACTTTAACTTAACACTTTGGGGTAAGCCTTGGCTGTGAAACGCCAAAAATAGAGCTTCAGGCAAAGTTTGGGTTGGTTGACGCTTTTAAATTGTGTTAGGGACTTTAGAGATGAGGCCAGAAACTGTTGGACAGATACTGGTTAATTGGTCGCAAAAAACTCAGGGAGTTCATCCGCTGGGCGGTTATTTTAAATTTGTCGAAATTGTGTAGGCGCTAAAGCTGACAGATCTGACAGTGGTTGTAAATATAAGACGTCGTTGTAATATAAAATAAGAGATCTCTGTGTGAAAGGAGTCTGAGGCAATGCTGGAGCTATTTTTAGACGGTGTGTGTGTGAGTGAAAATGCAAATGAGTAAGCAGTGAACTGTTTAAACCACAGTTGGTTTTACAAATACTGCTGCAAACATTGTTGAGTGTGTGTTTCAAATGCCATTTATGTTTATTAGAGGGTTATAAATAAAGTTTTGAGTTGCCGTAGTGGATGTATAGTAATTGACTGAGTTTGGATGCAGATATATAAATATATTGAGTGCACTGTATATACTTAAGACTAACACATTACTTTCAGTAGTAACTTTTCTCCAGCATTAGTTGCTGGTGTGTTTTATTTTTAATTTCTTGTGTGTGCGGTGAGAATTAATGGAGGTTTCAATTTTTCGTTTGTTTGTTTTTGACTTGCTCTTTCTGATTATGACAAGCATGTCTAAAATACTCTTAGGAAAGTGTGTTTTGAGTTATATTCCTCAACTCTGGTCACAGTTTAGGTGTGTGAATGCGGTGACTAGAAGGTTTTGAATGATGAATAAAGGTGTGAGAGGTATTTCTTTGGTGATGTAAAGTAGGATGTTTTAAAGTTTGAAAGTGTTTTTAATTTAAGAGATGCATGAGGGATGTTATAAGAGTTTAGTTTATTTAAAAGGTGTGTGTGTGAGAGGATTATGAAATCATTGTGTGAATGATGCTACATTTTAGATCAAAAGTTAGTAGAATTACAGAGGGTTTGTAGATTGTAAATACAAAATAAGTTTGATTAGCCTGCAGAAACAGAAAAGCAGCTTGAGCTGCTCTGAGAAGCTGTGTGTGTGTGACAGGAAGTTACATGCGCATAAAAGGAAGTGACTGTGACGAGTGAGCACCCAGAGAGAGAAATAAATGAGTTAAACTCTAGGCAGATAAAGCGAATGGAGGTTTTGAGAAAAGAAATGAAAAGGATATTAATTGTATGTTTTAGTGTGTTAACACAGATTACAGATAAATAAAGGTGGACTTCTCTCAACCTGGAATTTTGAGTACGGCGCCAAAACCACTAGAGTAGCATAATTGGGAGAAAACAGGCCAGATTTTGGCTTAAAATTTTACAGCTTGACCTCGCACTTGTCCCCATCCTGAGAAGAAGCTCAAAGGACAGTTAATCTCCTGATGAAGACCGACAGAACATCGTGGACTTCAAGAATTAACAGCAGCCAAAAGACAGTGCAACTGACTCGTTAACACTGAAACCAAACTGACGGGACCAGCAGCAGCATGGAAAAGCACACGGTGCAATATGTACTGTAAATTACAGGCGGGGCAGTTGAACAGTGGGATAATGAACGGTGGTAAAGCACTGGACACTGATTGTCAGATTTGCCATGCTTGGAGTAATCTTGAAAGAGATAACTGAGAGGATCAACAGAAAAGAAGAAACCACGTGATGAAACATGCACGGTGGACAGCAGGCTGGTAAGAACAGTGTGACATGACTGTTTAAAGGCACTGAATGTGGTATTTTGCCAGGCTGGGACTTGATCCAAAAGGAAAATACTGAAGAGAAACAGAGAAGAAACAGACTGTGTTTGCTGGAATTCAAGACAACAAAAGGACACTGAGAGAAGAGGACAGTGACCAGTGAGAGGCGAAGCAGGACGAGTTCGACTGTGAGAATACAGGGTGTAATTGGATTGAAATGATAGCTTGAACTCATGATGGTTTAGAGATGTCCACCGTCACAAACAAAGAGGTAACCAACAATAGAAAACACACATACACAAAGTGTTACATGTGAAATTATTTTTGGAAAGAATCAGAAGTGAGATAATTTTGAATTAAGAAATCAGGGAAAAGATGCATGAATTAAAC